AATAATGGTACTGTTTCAAAAATGGACTTAATTAACTACACTTAAATATGAAAGATTCAGTGATTTGCAAAGCAGGGATTCCTTAGTGCATCAATTAAAAAGTAGGTATGGTGGAACAGACCTGTAATTCCATATGAGGAGGCTGAGGTTGGCAGATCTATTGAGGTCAAGAGTTCTTAGCTGTAGTGGGCTAAATCAATCAAGCGTCCATACTAAATCCAACATCAATATGGCGAATTCCTGGGACTGGGGCATCACCAGGTTGCCCATGGAGGTTGAAAATTGAGCAGGTCAAAGCTCCCATGCTAATCAGTAGTGAGATTCAGGCCCATGGCTAGCCATTGTACTTACAGTACACAAAGACACAGCAACTAATTAATTAATAATTGCATACCACCTCAGAAAATGATTATTTTGAAAAGGCAATACTTGGCTTTGTATGTTTCAGTATGAGATGGGTGTTTTCATTCAGTTCCATATTTTATAGTCAAAATTCTCTATATTATCCTAGATACTAATTACAAAAATAATCATGAGTTGTATATAAAAGATGGATATACATTAGGATCACTCAAAAACTTGTCATTTTCACTATTAGTAAAATTGGACCACCAATTTGTCAAAGCAAATATCAGAATTAGTTTTTTTTAAAAAAAGCTAGACTATAATAGAAAGATGCAACACACAACTTAAACTCCTTAATTCTGAACTTCTTTTAACAACTGATAATGATAAATGGGTAATTGAGAAATGATAAACACTGATTATATTATTTTCATACAGAATGTTAACTAACATAAACCAACAAAGACCAAAAGAGCCCAAAAGGTGCTTTAGTCCACAAACAGGATTTACTTATCATGTGGTCAGAGGTGGTAGCCAAAGTTAATGCTAGCTTACGATATAAATTAATTTATAAAATCTTGTGAAAGATGATAATTAAAAGCGTGATGATTCACAAAATCAAGGAGAATCAGTAAGGATAAAACCAGTTTAAAGTGAATTTGGCAAGAGATCCAACTAAGCAAAATCTTTTGAGGACATTTAAGAATGAAATGTAAGGACAAGACAAGAAAAATGGAAAAGGCTGGCAAAGACTTTTATAACAAACTATTTTCTCACCATCAATAATGGAAAAGTCACCAAATTTGGATATCACAGTCCTAGATATGTTTATGGAGTGGATAGATATGGATAAGAGAACAAAAGTTGGAAAACAGAGAGACTGGAACAAGTGTGTAAGTAGATCCTCAATGAGGGCATATTAATATGGAACAAGTAGGCTTTCACAAGTAATGTTTTACAACAGATCAAACTTTTATGAAAGCTCGGTGACATAGTAAATGGAGCTCTAGATTGGGAAGACAGAAGATCTGAGTTCTAATTCTCTCCTCTCCCACACAATTGCATACGACTCCGAATAAATCACTTAGTCTCTTGACCTTAGCCTCCTCATCTGTAAAATGAGGATAGTAATAGCACTTACCTTGCAAGGTGTTAAGATCAAATGAGATAACATATGTGATTTGCAAACTTTAAAAATCGATAAAATCGATACTTATCTTTACCACTTTGCAATTGATTGAAAAATGTAGAGAATGTAAGATTCCACTGTGTTTGTTTGTTGATTATGAGGAAACATTTGATTTAGCAGAACAAAAAAACAAAAAAGAATGTTTTCCAAAAAGGTGTCTTTTTTCCATATATCAAAACCTTTTAAAAGAGATAACATAGGGGCAGCTAGGTGGCGCAGTGGAGAGAGCATGAGCCCTGGACTCAGGAAGACCTGAGTTCAAATCTGACCTCAGGCACTTGACACTTACTAGCTGTGTGACCCTAGGCAAGTCACTTCATCCCACTGCCTCACAAAAAAAAAAAAAAAAAAAAAAAACCAACCCTGTTCAACAATTCTTTGATTATAAGCCTCACGAGAGATGTTTATCATCTAATATAATTGCAACTGTGATGGAGAAGATCTAATGCAACAAGGATATTTGAAGAAGAGAAGTAAAATATATCATCAGGAAAACGTATGATAGGCTGGGAAGATGAGTTAGCCACACAGTAAGGATGAGGGATGACAAGAAGACAGGCAAAACCCCTGGTTTCCTCATGATGTCAGGAGAAAGCCAGAAAGGCTTCCAGCGCACTGGATGAGTTCCCAGTGACAAGCACCTGGGAAAACAAGGACAAGAGTCGCACAGGATGAATAGGTATTAATGGGTTGCAATAAGCTTCACTGGAAGAAACATCCAGAGAGATAAAATCGTGTATCCATTTAAGTAAATATTTGAGTAAAGGTTGGTTGGATCCGTACCAAAGGAAGGAAAAATCACAATACAATAACAGATACAGTGAGGCACAACTAATGGACTTTTCTCAATACTGATCCTCCTTGACTTCTCCTCAACTTGTGACACTACTACTTCCTTCTAGATTTTTAGACTTCCAAGTTTTTGTGACTTTGCTCTCTCCTGGTTCTTCTATCTAACTGCTCCTTCTCAGTTACCTTTGCCATTTCTTCACCCATGTCATGCCCACTAGCCAGGTGTTGTCTCTCCCCCCAACTCTGTACTGGTCCTTCTCTTTTCTCTTAAAAGTATTTTACTTGGTGATCTCATCAGCTGCCATGGCTTCAAATCTCTATGCAGATGATTCCCAAATCTAAATATTCAGCCCCAGTCTCTCTCCTGAGTTCTCATCCAGATTTAAATTTTCTTAAAGCTCTGAATTTAAAAGAAATCCAAAAACTTCTATTTTCCCAATTTACACACATAAAAAAACTATTCACTTTACTCAGGATGGTGGCTGGCAGCAGGTCACAATATCCAATCACGACTTTGCCTGAATAAAAATGTTTCAAGCTAAAACTGGAGATCTCTTTTATATCCTGTTACACATGTGCTATTTTGACTATGAGAATTTCAGCAACTGATTGTTAAAGTAACACTTGATAAGTTAACTACTGAGGAGAAAACAACGCATCAACTGCTTTCTGGATATTTCTCAAAGTAGATGTGTTACAGGTATCTCAAACTTAATATACGCAAAAAGAACCCATTCATTTGTCTTTTTCCCCAAATCCTCCCACCTTCCTTATACTTTCTAGGGCATAGTAATTCTCCCATTCACTCAAGCTTGCAACCTCAATATCATCCTTGACTCTTTGCTCTTACTAACCTCATATATCCAATCCATTGCCAAATCTTGTTTCTACCTTCTCATCTCTCCTATATGTCTTCTTCTCTCCACTCATACAGGCTTTTACCAGCACTGAACTGGACTATTCAAATAGCCTTCTAATTGTTCTTCCTGCTTCAAGTTTCTTTCCACTTCAATCTATCCTCCACTCAGATACAAAGGTGATTTTTCTAAAGCACAGGTCTGACTATGTCATGGAACTTCCCTGCTCCCCCTTCCTTATCCCCCACCCCATTCCCTATCCAATCAACGAGCTCCCATGCCTCTCTATTTCTTCCAGGATCAAATACAATAAACTCCATTAGGCACTTAAAGCTCCTCCTTACCTTTCCGGTCTTTTTATACCTTGCTCCCCTCCAAATACATTAAATTGTACCTGTACTAGGCTACTTGCAGTTCCTGAACATGACACTCTATCTTCCATCTCCAGGCCTTTGTACTGCCTGTCCCTCGTGCCTAGAAGGCACTGTACCTTCATCTCCTTCTCTTATCTTCCCTGGCTTCTATAAAACTCGGCTTAAATCCTACCTTCTACAGGACCCTTTTTCTGGTTGTCTCAGCTGTTAGTGTATTCCCTTCTCAAATCACCTTCCAACTACTCTGTATGTATCTTGTATGTACCTAGTTAGTTTCATGTTGTCTCTTCCATATGATTATGGAGTTGTCTCTTCCATATGAATATGAGATTCTTGAATGCAGAGGCTGTTTTTGCTTTCCTTTCTATCCTAAGCACTTAGCACAGTTCCTGGCTCATGGTAATCACTTAAGAGAAGCTTGTTGACTGGCAATCTAAAACTAAGAGCACTCTAGTACTATAGAATGAGCTTGATGTGGTTCAAGGACCAATTGCAACATTTATCCACAAGTTTTAACCTCTGTAAGTCTTATTCTTCTCATCTGCAAAATGAAGACAATAATATTTGTACTATATCATAGGGTAGTTGTAAGGAAAGTACTCTGTGAATGATACAACCCCACATAGAGATGAGCTATACTATAGTGATTTGGCATAATGAACAAATGTTGGTTAAGTAAAAACTACTACAAATCTTTGAAAAAAGCTTTTTAGTTACTAATAAGCCAATAATGTAGGCTTCATACAGTTATTTTATAGACAAAGTCCAAATGGAATCTGGTTTAATAATTTAATCAGATCTCAATTAACCTTTTTCATTTCATGAGCATAAATATTAAATTCAGTCTAAATATTAAGATAAAGTTCATAAAGGTTTCACATACAAAAGCAGTTCATGCACAAAACAACATATAGCAAACATTTATAAAAATAATGAAATTCTAACCGTTTTTAACAATAAGCTAGATTTATAATCTACACAGTTTACCCCTTAGAGAAAAGATAGATAAGCACAGATTTAACACCAACAACTATCACAACAGAAAGTGGAGCTCTGTCAATAATAAGAATGCTTTCGGTATTAATGAATATATTTTGTAGGACCAAACTAAAAAAACTAATGTCATGTTTTAGTATTGGTGTTATTAAGAGTTATTTCCCTTAGCAAATTAGAACAGTAGTGACAAAAAAAAAATCACTTCTAAATTACATTAAATGTCTCATAAATGCCACCATTATTAAAGAAAACAAATTAGCATTGGACTTATTGATGTATAGTATATTCAGAACAAAATCATTTTAGTTCAACTGTAACAAACATAAACAATTTTTTCTTAGCCTTGGTATACCAGAAAAATGTATGCTTTAAAAGAAAAACTTTTAACCAGATTTTTAATTGTGATAGTAGAACAGTAATTAAAATCCTGGAGTTCATTCATTTTTCTTTTCAGCTAAAAGGGTGAAGCATGATAGCCACAACTTTATTGCAGACGACAAGCCAACAAGTAATTCCAACACCACCTGTTTAATGATTAAAAAAAAAAACTACATATAATATGCTGACAATTTTGGACATATTACTACTGAATTTATAACTAACTTGGAATAAAGCAAATTTTTCATGTAAAGAATAAATTTATATTTTAGTATTCTCAAATCATTTGTTTTTATGCTATTAAAGGTCTATATTGCTAAATAAATACAGTAAAAGACATCCTTCACAATTTGTTTCAGCACTTTTTTTAATGTTGAAGTCCTCTGTGAATTACCATTTAACAGTAGGTACCTAAACAACAATAAAAAGCAACATAGTATAGTGGATAAGTGACACAGGATTAACTGGGTTCAAGACCTATCTCTGTCAACAATATAATATCTTCACAACTCTGGGCAAGACACATAATCTCTCAGTGCCCTAAGCAAACGTCTAAAACTATAGTTTATAAAACATTTATTTGCCTATCTTGTAAAGGGAATTTTCTTATAGAGAAGTTCCCTTCCCCAGAAAATACATAGTTCTGGACCATATGTTGGGTATATTCATTTATTTACAGTTTTGGATGGCAATATATGTATATATAGATACGCATGTACATACATGCATGCATATGTGCACATGCATACATATGTGTGTAGACATATGTATATGTGTAGCTATGTGTCATATCTCTGACATGCAATTACCACCCAAAAGTGTTAAGTTATTCTGCATTGTTCAGGAAAAGCTTCAAATAAAATAACTTGGTTTCACACAAATGCAAAACAATGCATTAAGGATAGAAAGAAAACAGTTAAATGGGAAAAAAATCATCACATCAAGTTTCTCTAACAAAGGTCTCATTTCTAAGACATATAAGGTATTGATTCAAATGTCTAATAGGAGCCATTCTCCAACTACTAACTGGTCAAAGGATAGGAAAAGAAGTTTTTAAAGGAAGAAAACCAAGCTATGCACAACCATAGAAAAAATGCTCCAAAGCAATGACAATTAAATAAATGCAAATTAAGCAATTCTGAGGTTCTACCTCATAACCACCAGATTGGCAAGATTGACCAAAAAATGGAACATGACAAACGTTGGAGAGGCTGTGGGAAAAAAAGGTACATTAATGTATCAGTGGTGGAACTACAAATCGATGTAGTCATTCTGGAAAGCAATTTACAACCATGCCTCCAAAGCTAATAAATTGTACATTTCCTTTGACCCAGTAATATCTTGACTGGGTCTACACCCCAAAGAGATGAAAAAAGGAGGAAAAGGCCTCATATGCATGAAAATATTTATAGTGGCTCTTTTTTGTAATAGGTAAGAACAAAAAACTAACAATTGGGGAATGACTACACATTATCACATATAAATGTAAGGGAATACTATTGTACTATGAAATTATGAAAGGGAAAATTTCAGAGAAATGGGGTAATTTATGAATGATGCAGACTGAAGTGAGCAGAACCTGTAGGATAATTTATAAGAACAATACTGTATAATCAAACAATTTGGAAAGACTTAAGAACTCCTACTGATGCAATGACCAACTATGATTCTAGAGGACTAAAGATGAACAATGTTACATGCTTGCTGAGAGGTGGGCTCGAGATGCAAAACGAGATGTGTATATTTAGAGACGGCTATTTGAGAATTTGATTGACTATACATATTACTTACAAGGTGTCTCCCTCACAATCTCCATGAGGAGGGGCTAGACTAGGAAAAAATATTCTGGACTTCAGATATTATTTCCTTAGCAGGAATTTTTGTTTATAGCTATAAAAGTATTTGAGTCAAGTTTTCTCTTCTTTTATACACATATATATTAATTTTGACATTATCCATACTAGTGTGTATATATACACTTTAATTTCCACTAAAGGATCTATTTTTAAAATTTTTTTTGTTTTCTGTTCCTAATTCTCTCCTTGTACCCATTGAGAAAGCAAGAGATACAATATCCATTATACATATGAGGTCATGAAAAACATATTTCCACATTAGCCATGTTGAGAAAGGGGGAAAAAAATCAAGAAAAATAAGCAAAGTGAAAGAAAATATGCTTCTATGTGCACTGAGTTCATTTGGAATTGTCAGAGGTCATTCATTGTATTGATCAGAGTAGCTAAGTCTTTCACAGATGACCTCTGTCACAAAATTGCTGTTACAGTAGAATGTTCTCCTGGTTTTGCTTACTTCACTTTGTATTAGTTCACACAAGTCTTCCCAGGTTTTCCTGAAACTATCCCTTTCATCATTTCTAACAGCAAAATAGTATTAATATTCATATATTACAACCTGTTCAGCCACTCACCAATTGATAACTATTCTCTCAGTTTCCAATTTTTTGCCACCATAAAAAGAGCTGCTATAAACATTTCTGTATATATGGGTCCTTTTCCTTTGGGGTATAGACCTTGTAGTGGTATTGCTGGGTTAAACAGTATGCATAATAAGTTTAATATCTTTTGGACACAGTTTCAAATTGCTTTCCACAATGGTGAGCCTAGCTCACAGCTCCATCAAAAGTACTTCAGTGCACATATTTTCCCACATCCCCTCCATCATTTTTCATTTTCCTTGAATGTCATCTTAGCCAATCTGATAAGTGTAAGGTGGTACCTCTCAGAGTTATTTCATTCTGCATTCCTCTAATTATCAGTGATTTCGATCTTTGTTTTTCATATGAATAATGATAGCTTTGATTTTGTTATCTGCAAACTGCCTGTTCATATCCACTGATCATTTAACAACTGGAGAATGGATCTTATTTTTATATATTTGCTTTAATTATCTATGTACATGAGAAATGAGATCTTTATCAGAGAATATTGCCATAAAATTTCTTCACAGCTTCCTGCTTTCCTTCTAATTTTGTCTGCGCTGTTTTTGTACAAAATCTTTTTAACTTAAGGTAATCAAAATTACCCATTTTGCCTCCTGTGATCCTCTCTATCTCTTGTTTGGTCACCAACTATTCCCTTATAAATATATCTGACAAATAATTTTTTCCATGCTCCCCTAATTTGCTTATATTGTCCATTTTAAAAGCATGTGCCCATTTTAATCTTTTCCAGGTATACAATGAGAGATGTTGGTCTATGCCTAGTTTCTCCCAGATTGCTTTCTAATTTTCCAAGTAGCTTTTGTGGAACAGTGAGTTCTTGCCCCAATAATTTGGATTTAGGGATTTATCAAACACTTCTCTATATTGTGTAGCTAATCTACTCCATTTATTTCTCTACTTTGTATAGCTAACCTATTACATTGATCAACAATTCTATTCCTTATCCAAGATCAGACTGATTACCAAAGGGTCTTACCTGCTACTCCAGTAGGAAATGCCACTAAGCGTTCTAATGGAGCTATCCATTTACTTGGTAGCACAGTCACAGGATCAGAATAATACTTCCAAATAAGTGTGATCATCAATAAAGCCTAGGAAAAAAAACCTGATAAGTAAAATACATCATTAATTTAAGATTTATGGAATAACAATGAGATGACATATCAAAACCCATGGAACACAGCCAAGGCAGTAATCAGAGGAAAATTTACATCTCTAAATGCTTTTATCAATAAAATGGAGAAAGAGCAGACTAATGAACTGGGTATGCAATTTTTAAAAAACTAGAAAAAGAACAAATTAAAAATCCTCAATTAAACACCAAATTGGAAATCTTAAAAATTAAAGATGAGAGTAATAAAAATGAGTATAAGACCATTGAATTAATAAATAAAATTAGGAGTTGGTTTTATGAAAAAAACCAGGATGATAGATAAACCTTTAGTTAATATGATTTTAAAAGAGAAAAAAACCAAATCACTAGTATTAAAAATTAAAAGGATGAATATACCACTAACAAAGATGAAATCAAAACAATTATAAGGAGTTATTTTGTCCAATTGTATGTCCAACAAACATTGGAGGGGATGTGGAAAAACTAGGACACCAATTCACTGTTGGTGGAACTGTGAACTGATCCAATCATTTTGGAGAGCCCAGAGAGTTATAAAACTTTGACCCTGTAATACCACTACTAAATCTATTTCCCAAGGTGACCAGGCAAAAAGGAAAAGAGCCTATACGTTCTAAAATATTTATAGCAGTTTTTTTTGTGGTGGCAAAGAACTGGAAATTGGGGGGATGCCCATCAATCGAAGAATGGCTAAACAAGTTATGGTACATGATGGTGATGGAATACTACTGTGCCATAAGAAATAATAAGCTGGTTGATTTTAGAAAAACATGGAAAGACTTGCATGAAATAATGAAGAATGAAATGCGCAGAACAAAGAGAACGTTGTACATAGTAACAGCAATATTATTCAAAGAACAATTTTGAATGACTAAGTCATTTTGAGTATCATAAGCACTCAAATCAACTACTAAGGACCTCTGAAGGAAAATGCTATCCACCTACAGAGAAAGAACTGATACATAGAAATATGTATAGTATGGCTTTACATATACATTTTTATATACACATATACATACATTGTGTATATGTACATATATATAAAATGTGTGTATATATGTATACCCACATATTTGTGTTTTAGCCTTCTCTATGATGGGTTGGGGAGGGAGAAAAAAATAAAAATTGCACTGGAGAGAACAAAAGAAAACTTAGAAAGAAGCAGAGAAAAGCAGCATAGTTTTGAAAATGTGCAGTATTTATTACACAGTTTTGTTTTGAAAATAATGGAAATTTATGGTTTGATATTGAATCCTCTTTTACATTGTGCTGTGAACATGGAAATGTCCTCTTTAGTCTTTTTGTATTTAAGTTCAAAATGAATAAAAATTTTTTACAAAGATTTATGAGCAGACTTTATTAATGTAAGCTTATTAACATGATTATAAATGACAGATAAGCCAAATACACATAAAGTTCATAGTCTTCTTTTTTTCTTTTTGTAGTATTTTATTTTTTCCAATTATATGTAATGTTAGTTTTCAACATTTTTTTAAATAAGATTTTGAGTTCTATATTTTTCTCCCTCCCTCCTTCCCTTCTCCACTTCCCAAGACAGCAAGCAATCTAATAGAGGTTATACATGTGCAATCATGTTAAACATATTTACACATTAGTCATGTTGTAAAAGAGGAATCAGAACAAAGGAAAAAACCATGAGAAAGAAAACAAAACAAAACAAAACAAAAAAGTGAAAATAGTTTGCTTCAATCTGCATTCAGACTCCATAGTTCTTCCTCTGGATGTGGATAGCATTTTCCATCAAGAATCTTTTGAGGGGCTGCTAGGTGGTGCAGTAGATAAGCTCCAGCCCTGGAGTCAGGAGGACCTGAGTTCAAATTCAGCCTCAGACACATGATACTTACTAGCTGTATGACCCTGGGCAAGTCACTTAACCCTGATTGTCTCACCAAAAAAAAAAAAAAAAAAAAAAAGAATCTTTTGGAACTGTCTTGGATCATTGTATTGCTGAGAAGAGCTAAGTCTATCATAGTTGACCATTACACAATGTTGCTGTTATTCTCATAAGGCCTTCTATGACACCTTCCCACTTTGCTACATTACATGCCAATCTCTGCAGGGATTACTGCCTATTACTGATGTGAAGCCAAAATAGCTAATGCCTCTTGTTATCTTTTTGAGTTTTGTCTCCTAATTTTTTTTTTATCTAACAGATAAACCACATTATTTTTTTCTCTCAAATTTTTATAGAATATAGTCTCTTTGAATTGGTTTTGAAAACAAAGTCAAAAGCTCTCCTCACATAATTTTCTCCTAAAAGTAATGCTTAAGAGCCTAATTTGATTTCATAAAATGTGCTAAACTGCCAAGATCAAATATCTTACATTTCCTACAGGGAAACTTTGATCCCTTGGGACCAGAAATGATATTGCCCCAGATGGCTTATTTGACTAAAAGTGCTCCTCCACGCCGCTGAATGTCTATAGCCATAAGTGGGTATAGACAATGGAGTTGCCAAACAGTTGCCCCTCAGAGCTTCCATTCCTTCTTGACAGAAAGTGCTCCTCCCTGCCCTTGAACTATGACCCAAAAGTAGGCAATACGCAAAGTAGGCATAGGCAATGGACTTGCTAAACAGTGATGGGTCCTACATCCAGTCCTAGCAGTCTCTTTCTCACCAGTTGGCAGGTGCCCTTACCATCTCTGGTTTTGGAGCTCCCAAAGCTGCTGTTCCTTCTGTCACCACCACCTAATCCCTCCATTGGTGTTTCACCCAAGTGGGGTCCAGGCCATCCTCCACCCCTGTGCCAGAGACCTCTCTTTCTTAACTAACAAGTTGTCTTGTGCTGGAAAAATGTCTCACTCTGACCTTTTGTTGGCTCTGCCACCTGAAGTATTATTTTAAAGTTGTCTGGAGGACTTAGCTGAGCATTTTCTCTACTCTGCCATCTTGGTTCTACCCCCAGAAGATTTATCAGTTGAGATTGTGAGAAACAAGTGACATCTGAAGATAAGTATCAAAGGAAACTAAGGCTTTTAAGAGGCAGAGGCGAGGAAAGAATATATTCCAAGTTCCTATCTATGGGGGAACATGCTTGCACAAAGGCACAAAGACAGAGTGCCATATTTAGGGAACAAATAAGTTGGTGTAGCTGGAATGTACAATGTGTAAATAAAAGAAATGTGAAATAATTCTGGAAAGGTAGACTGGAACCAGAGCGTGAAAAGTTTTAAATGCAGAATGAAGAATTCATTATAGTTTACATTATATTTTTAGAAATCATAGTGAGCCACTGAAGATTCTTGAGAAGAGTGAAAACAGAAATATGATTTAGAAAGATTCATTAGCAACTGAATGAAGGCTAGAATTCATGGGGAAAAACTGGAAGCAGGGATATCAATTAGGAAGTTAGTATAATAGTCCAGGTGAGAGGGGATGAGTTACTGGAGAAAAATGAGATGAAAATAAGATGCACCATGGAAGGAGAATCTTCAAGAAGAGCAAATGAATGGATGTAAAGGATGAGGAAAAATTGTTAAGGATGACACTGAGGTTGTGAACCTAAGCAACTAGAAAGTTAGTGGTACCCTCAATATAGTATCCCAAAGGTATTTTAAGCAATTAAAGCTTAAACTGCCCAAAGACTTTTGGGACACACTGCATAAAAGAAAGAATGGTTTCAAAGGAGGGATGGGTTTTTGGGGGGTTTTTTTGGTGGAAAGGAGACTGGAGGTACTAGGAGGAAAAGGTAGCATATTGCCTTGGATATGTCTAGTGAGTAGTTGGTAATGTGGGACTGGAATACAGAAGAGACATTAAGGCTATGTTTGTAAAGACTTGGGAGTTACTTGTATATAACTAATCGAACCCATGGGAGCTAATGAAATCACCAGGAGAATATGTATAAAGAAAGAAGATGACCTAGGACAAAGCCCTGGAAAGAAAATGGATAGAATATGGATGATGATACATCAAAGGAATGGTCAGACAAGGAGAAGGAGAACTAGGGAAGATGTGTTACAAAAGCCAGGGGACGGGAGACAATCCAGGAAAAGGTAAACAGTAATGTCAAAAGCTGCAGAGAAATCAAGGATGAAGACTGACAAAAGAACACTGGATTCTGCAATTGCGAAATCATCACTATTCTTGAAGAAAGCAGTTTCAGTTGAGTAGTAGATTTTTCACTTGTATAGCCACAGACTAATATAGCTAGTATAGTTCATAGGACATAAAGCCCATTCTCCCCCTCTACCTCACCTCTATTTAGGATAGATGCCAGATGAAGTTTCAAAGACTTTTAGTCCAAGAGAGAAAATATACTGGCCCTGGCATTTGCCAAGAAGAGTAAAATGTTCATTCCACCAAAACCTCCTGCACACTCATCACAGGGTATGGAGCTATCTGCAGAGCAAGCTGTACTTCTACTGAACAATTTTCCTGTCCTCTGTTAGTTCTAATGTGGCCACTAACCCTCCTGAACAAGGAAGGTATATCTGCATGTGCACCACAAAGATTCTTCTGATATTCAGGTCATTTTACATTGATACTGCGGTTGCCAAAAGAGATTATTTCATTTTTGTACTTGTGTCTCTGACACCCAGCAACACAGTTCCTGGTACAAACTTGATTCATCTATCTTCTGGAATTCTCTATATATTTGGATCTGTGGAATTTCTACTGTGATCTATTTCTATATGTCCTTTTGGGCAGCTAGGTGGAACAAAGGATAGAGTGCAGGACCTAGAGTTAAGGAAGACCTGTGTTTGAATCCTGCCTCAGACACTTACTAGCTGGGTGTTCCAGGTCAAGTCACTTAACCTGTATGTACCTCACTTTTCTCATCTGTAAAATAAGGATGATAATACTAGCACCTACCTCATGGGGTTATTATGAAAATCAAATGAGATATCACACATAAAATGCTTTGCAAACCTTAAAGCACCACATGCTTTATCATACTGTCTGAAATTCATTCCCTGGCTAGTCATTTAAGCATTTCTGTGAAACATTGCCTCTGAGCCTCAGCTGTTACAGAAGCATCTGATCCTCATTTTACTAGTGACCAGACAGTTTTAAAGACAAACATCATCTTTCCTGAGGCCAAGCAGACTAGCTCTGTATCAAAGTCAGCAGTTCCTATATACCCTAAGATGCTATCTTTTTTGATAGGATCAAAAATTTTGTGCTAGAGGAGACCCTAGAGGTCATCTAGTTCAAACCCTTCACTTTACAAAATGAGAAGCCTGAGGCCAAAAGAGGTTAAATGACTTATAAAAGTAGTAAGTAGCAGAGCTCGAATTTGAACTCAGGTTCTGAGTCTAGACTGAGCTCCACTGTACCATGTTTTCATTTCTGCCATCTAAGTGAACTGACAAATCCTTAGCCCAATAAATGATGAAGGTCCTGAGATGTAAATGACAGAGCCAGGACTCAAACCTACTGAAGACTCCACATCTGAGACTCTTTCCATTACACTGTAGTTAATTCTGTGTATAGATTTCAAGCCAGAAGAATCCTCAGCATCGTAGCAAAGAAAGATGCAAATGACACACAGAATATGACACACATAACTGTTGGGTATTTCTCTACCCTATTTCACATAATGTACTACACTTTGCCCCTCCATCCTGGGAGGGAAGTTCATATATGAAATGTTATATAGATTCACATATATATGAATGTATATACAGATTTAATAACACATTTAATAATAGCACACATTTTAAGGTTTCCAAAGATTAAAAAATAAGTAATACCAAAGAATGCTTACCTGTAATATGTAGAAAACAATGTTTATGACCCATTTAATTTTGGCTAATTGAGCTGTTCGTGCCTTCACTGGAAGGAAAAAGGTGGAATGAGAAGGACAATTTATGGAGATGGAAGTAACTTTTCTTTTTTAAAAAGATTTAACATTTAAGGATTTTACAACTCTGAACTACTCTCACCCTTCCCTCCTTGACAAGAAATCTGGTATATTTCTATCAAATGCGACTTTATAAAATGCGACTTGAATCTACAGACTCTAAATGAGATTTCATTTCACATTTGAAGACATTCTTCTAATTTTATTTGCTATTCTAACTTTCCCATCGACAGGTAGAAAGGCAATCTGTTACAAGCTCACAGCATAAAACTTTCTTAAGGACAGTATTGTCATAATGCCTCACTCAATCTCTTGCTAACCAAGCAAATCTGTACATATTATCTCTATTCTGGTGATAAAAATTCACCCTCAGCATCTACCATGAGACTTCATGTCTGGACGAAGTCATTTTATCCAGATTGACTCTATGCTGGAGTAAAAAACCAGCTAAGCTCTGGAAATATCCCTTAGTGCTTGGCAAGCAGGAGTGCATTAGAATCATAAATATTGTTTCTAGTTGAATTATTTTCCTTTTTAAAATTTCTACTACTACTAAAAAAGTCCACCCAGGAAAAAAATATTCATAATCGTTGTAGAAATTTTCACATGAACTTTACATTAAATGAAAAACTTGCATAAAAGGTATCGTTCTAAATTATCTGCAAGCATGTTGCAAATAAAAGATAACATACCATGAGTTTTCAGCTTATCAGTCATTTTGTTAATCTTTCGTTCTAGTCTGGCGTATCTGGCAAATTCATCCATCATGCTAATAGCTGAGAGGTCTTGTTTCATGGTTTGTATTTCTGCTCTCATCTGGGACTCTTGGTCTACATCCTTTTGTAGCAGCTTGGATATCTGACCAAAAAAAAAGTAAATATTTAAAATGCTATTCAATCAAAAATCATTATTAATATCATCCTCTTATTAACCACTTTTTTAATATAGCACATATCATGATTATCAGATAAGGAATTAAATAGAAGCAATTTTTTTTTACATTTTGAATTTGAAAACATAAATATACTCAAAATCCAAATAAGACAGCCTGTATAAGGCAACCAAACTGAAGAAAAATTGTGTTGTTGTTCAGCCATTTTTCAGTAATATCCAACTCTTCATTACCCCATGGGGTTTTCTTGGCAAATATATTGGAGTGGTTTGCCATTTCCTTCTCCAGATCATTTTACAGATGAGAAAAATGACTCACCCAGGGTTACACAGCTAGCAAGTGTATGAAGCCAGATTTGAACTCAGGAAGATGAGTATTCCTGACTCCAGGCCTGATACTCTATCCACTGAGCCACCTAGCTGACTCTTTGAAGAAAAATAAAGGACTGTGATTGGCAACTATAAAGAATAGAAAATTAATGAAATATTTTTCCCAGGGTCTTTTTAAAAATAAGTATTGCTGCCTTTTAAAAAAATATTACTAATTTTCCCATACTGTCCCCCACTCTTGAATCTTCCCTTTCAACAAAAAAACAAAACAACCAACTGACCAAAACCTACACATTAACTGCAGCTAACAGTTACTGTTAACACTCTGTAACCAGTTGTCCTTCCCTTATCCACACACCTCACCACAAAGATGAGAGGCCTATGTTTCATTATCTGTTTTCCAGTTTGGTCATTACAGCTAGTCAGGAATTAACCTGTTTTTCAGCATTTCATTTACACTATTATAGTCAGTGAGTATACCATTCCACAAGTTCGGTTTACCACAAAGGTTGGTTATGGACCCACAAAGGCTGAAACAAGTATTTCCATGTTTTTCTGAACTCCTCATATTTGTCATTTCTTATAATACAATAATGTTATATTATCTTCATGTATCACAATTTGCTCCGCTACTCCCCAACTGATGGGCATCTACTTTATTTCTAGTTTTTACTACCACAAAAAGTGGTGCCATGAAAATTTTGGTATATATATAGTATCTTCCTATCTTTGTACTTTTCAGGGTTTGTGTCAATGGATCAAAGTCAAGTGATTTTTCTTGAAAATTTTTCAAAAATTACAAAAAAAATTACAGCAAAGATGGCACAGAAAAGTCAGGGAATCACGTGAGTTCTACCAAATTCCCCTTCAAACAACTTTAAATAAAACCTCACAACAAATTCTAGAGCAGCAGAACTCACAAAAGGATGGGGTGAAACAATTTTCTAGCCCAAGACAACTTAGAAGGTCAGTAGTAAAGGTCTGTAGCACTTGGGTGAAAGTCGAACATAGTCCAGCATAGACTGAACCCTAGCAAACCAGCAGAAGACCTTGGGGGCAACTGAATCACAGAAGGCAGTGGAGGATTCCAGAACTTTCAGGTCACAGATGGAAAGGGGATCAAACAATTGGTCAGAAGGAGATTATAGGAGTCCCTTTACTGGCACAGGTGTCACTTGCACTGCTCATACATGGATCTGGGTCACAATCCCAAGTCAAGGAGGAGCACTAGTACACCAAAGCTTGTGGCTACAGGGGAATGGGGACCCTAATCACAGTTCCATGGTGGAAAAGAAGTGCTTGTGGTCACTCACAGACCAAAGCACAGGCCAAGAGAGCAGTGACTACACTCCCTAGATCATACCACCTTGGAAGAACTGAAAACTTATACACCCCTAGAACTATCTCTGAGAGCAGCAGCAAGAAAGGCCTGAAGCTTGGGACAGTGCCCCCTCTACCTCAAAGGAAGAGTCTCACTTTCACATGGAGTTAAAAGTCAAGAAATAGGCTGAAAAATGAGCAAACAACAAAAAAAACCTGACCACAGAAAGTTACTACAGTGACAGAGAAGATCAATACACAAATTCAGAAGAAGACAATAAAGTCAAAACTGCTACATCCAAAGCCTCAAAGAAAAATGTGAATTGGTCTCAGGCCCAGAAAAGAATTCCTGGAAAAGCTTAAAAAAAAAGTTTTAAAATCAAATAAGAGAGGTAAAGGGAAATTTTGGAAAAGACAGGACAGTGATGCAAGAAAATTATGAAAAATGATTCAACAGCTTGGTAAAGGAGGCACAAAATAATATTGAAAAAAATAACATCTTAAAAAACAAAGTAGGCTAAATGGTAAACAATGCACAAAAAATCCAATGAAGAGAATAATTCTTCAAAAAGTAAACTGGCTAAATGGAAAAGAAAATACAAAAGCTCACTAAAGAAAATAATCCTGTAAAAATTAGAATTGGGTAAGAGGAAGCTAAGGACTCCATCAGACATCAAGAAATAATAAAACAAAGTCAAAAGAATGAAAAAATAAAAGAAAATGTGAAATATCTCACTGAAAAAACAAATGACCTAGAAAATAGATCCAAGAGAGATAATTTAAGAGTTACTGAACTACCTGAAAACCATAATCAAAAAAAGAGCCTAGACATCATCTTTCAAGAAATTATCAAGGAAAACTGTCCTGATAATCTAGAACCAGAGGGTAGAATAGAAACTGAAAGAATCCATTGATCACCTCCTGAAAGAGATCCCAAAATAAAAATTCCCAGGAATATTATAGCCAAATTCCAGAGATCCCAGGTCATGAAGAAAATATTGCAAGCAGCAAGAAATAAACAATTCAAATATTGTGAAGTCACAGTCAGATTAACACAAGATTTAGCAGCTTCTACATTAAAGGATAAGAGAGCCTGGAATATGATATAACTGGAGGGCAAAGGGAATTATAACCAAGAATCACCTACCCAGCAAAACTGAGTATAATCTTTCAGGGGAAAAAAACTGACATTCAATGAAATGAAGGACTTTCAAGCATTCCTGATGAAAAGACCAGAGCTGAATAGAAAATCTGACTTTCAAATATAAGAATCAACAGAAGCATAAAAAGATAAATAGGAAAGAGAAATCATAAGGGATTCAATAAGGTTTAGCTGTTTACATTCCTACATGGGAATATGATACTTGTAACTCCTAAGAACTTTCTCATTATTAGGGCAGGTAAAAGGAGTATACATGACAGAGGGCATGGTTCTGACTTGAATGTAATGGGATGCTACCTAAAAAAATAAAATTAAGGAGTGAGAAAGAGGAATGCACTGGGAGAGGAAGAAAAGGAGAAACAGAATGGATTAAGTTATTTCACATAAAAGAGATGCCAAGGAGCTTTTTCAGTGGAGTGAAAGATGGGAGAGGTGGGAGGCAAGGGGAGCACTTGAACCTTACTCTTAGTAGAAGTGGCTTAAAGAAGGAATAACATACACACTCAGTTGGATATAGAAGTCTATCTTACCTTACGAGAAGGTAGGAGGAGAAGGAACCAAGGAGAATGGGGTGCTGATAGAAGGGAGGGCAGACTGGAGAAGGCAGTAGTCAGAAGCAAAACACATTTAAGGATGGACAGGGTGAAAGGAAAGACAGAGTAGAATAAACAGGGGGAAACAGAATGGAAGGAAATTATAGTTAGTACTGTAACTGTGAAAAAAAAATTTACAGCAAGTTTCTCTGATAAAGGCCCGAGAGAACCGAGTCAAATTTATTTAAAAAAAAAAAGTCATTTCTCAACTGATAAATGGCCAAAGGATATGAACAGGCAGTTTTCAGACAAAGAAATCAAAGCTATCTATAGTCACATGAAAAAAAATGCTCTAAATCACTATCGATCAGAGAAATGCAAATTAAAATAATTCTGAGGTATCACCCCACCTATCAGATTAGTTAATGTGGCAGAAATGGAAAATGACAAATGTCGGAGGGGATAGAGAAAATTGAGACACTAATGTACTGTCAGTAGAGTTGTAAACTGATTCAACCATTCTGGAGAGCAATTTGGAACTGTTCCCAGAAGGCTATATAACCATGCACATGGTTTGATATGCCTACTTTGACCCAGGAATACCCCTACTAAGTCTGGATTCCAAAGAGATTTTTAAAAAAGGAAAAGGAAAAGGACCTATATGTCCAAAAATATTTATAGCAGATGTTTTCGTGATGTCAAAGAATTGGAAACTGAGGGGATGCCCATCAATTGGGGAATGGTTGAACAAGTTGTGGCATATGATTGTGAAGGAATATTGTTCTATAAGAAATGACGGGGGCAGCTGGATGGCGCAGTGGATGGAGTGCTGGCCCTGGAGTCCGGAGCACCTGAATTCGGATGTGGCCTCACATACACTGCATTTGCTGGCCGTGTGACTCTGGGCAGGTTATTTAACCCCCATTGCCTTGCAAATAAAGAAAAAAAAATTAAAAAAAAAAGAAAGAAATGACAGGCAAGATGTTTTCAGAAAAACCTAGAAATATTAATTGATGCAAAGTAAAATGAGCAGAACTAGGAAAATATTGTACACAGAAACAGCAATATTGTATAATGATCCATTGTGAATGAATTAGCTATTCTCAGTAATACAATAATCCAAGACAATTCTGAAGGACTTATAATGAAAAATGCTATCCATCTCTAGAGAAAGAACTGCTAGAGTCTAAATGCAGATCAAAGTATACTTAAAAAAAAATTCTCTTGGCTTTCTTTGTTTTTACATGTAATTGGGTAGAAAAAGAAAAATTTCAGCGTTTCCCAGCAATTCATAGCTCCTCCAACACATGGCTAAATCATTGAAACATCCCCCACCTACTGCCCTCAATCCACGTCCCACTCAACATCTCACTCTAAAGCAGCACAACCTTTCCTATGTTTTCTATGGAATGCCTCTTCAATAACTGACATGCTTGCTGTCACCTTAAACCTTTTCCTTTCTCAGTACTTCTTATTCCTGCACTCACTGAGACCTGATTCTCTCCAGAGGACAGGTTTCCTGGCCACCCTTCCCAGCACTGATTGCATTTTCACTCACTCCTTTCCCCTTCCCCCCCAAATTACTGGTTGCAGTGGAGTTGGAATACTGTTTCCCAACTCTC